CTAGTGGCAGTGCTTATTTTAGGACTGCATGTCATTTTGCATACCACACATAATACTTCAGAAAAAGTCTGTGGTGGGTGCTTTTTCTGTCTGATTTGAAACCAGTGATTTTTCTTTCAGGTATAGAAGCCAAGAAGAATGTGATGGTTACTCAAGCTGACCAAATAGGCCCTCTTCCCAGCACTTTGATAAAAAGTGTGGACTGGTTGCTTGTATTTTCCTTATTCTTTTTAATTAGTTTTATTATGTATGCTACCATTCGAACTGAGAGTATTCGGTGGCTAATTCCAGGACAAGAGCAGGAACATGTAGAGTAGTGATGAACTGAAAGAAGTTGGAAAGAGGAACTTCAATCCTTCGTTTCAGAAATTAGTGCTACAGTTTCATACATTTTCTCCAGTGATGTGTTGACTTGAAACTTCAGTCAGATTAAAAGAATCATTTGTTGAACAACTGAATGTATAAAAAAATTATAAACTGGTGTTTTAACTAGTATTGCAATAAGCAAATGCAAAAATATTCAATAGAGTGCACTATTCTTGTTTTTACTGCATGAACTTAATCCAGTATTTGAAAAGTAATCCAGTTTGAAATGTGAAGATGTATTCTGGTAGAACAGTGAGTAGAATGACATGCTTACTATACAGAAGGCAAAAATAGGACTCTCAGATAATAGTTTTAGGAAACCCTTGATTTCTTATATATGTTTAAGAAGGTTAGTTTTCTGTTTCTTTGCAATTTTTCTTCCAGAGTCCATAGCAGGAAAGTATGTAACGAGAATTGGTTAGTGTGACCCCCTCAAGTAGCAAGTGATGGAAAATAAAAGAATCAAATACCTTGATGTTTGTGATCTCTACTTTCACTCAAAAAATTTGACGTGTTTTAAGTTGTTTCTGGGTAAGGGAGATGTTAGGAGAAAGGAAATGCTGTAACTAAAGCTCAATTATTATCAGTTCTATGCTAATGTATACATTTTAATCATAGTTATCTAACCAGCATGCATTAATTGAACCTTAAAATGTTCCCAGCAGGCTGGGCGCAGTGGCTGACGCCTGTAATCCCAGCACTTTGGGAGGCTAAGGTGGGAGGATCACTTGAGGTCAGGAGTTTTGAGACCAGCCTGGCCAACTTGGTGAAACCCCGTCCCTACTAAAAATACAAAATATTAGCTGGGTGTGGTGGCAGGTGCCTGTAATCCCAGCTACTTGGGAAGCTGAGGTAGGAGAATCACTTGAACCCCGGAGGCAGAGGTTGCAGTGAGCCGAGATCATGCCACTGCACTCCAGCCTGTGCAACAAGAGCGAAACTCCGTATCAAAAAAAAAAAAAAGAAGTATTAAAGTATAGAACACTCTTCTTGCCCACAAGTTGATTCTAGTCTAGTTCAAGACACATTTAGTAGAGAGACAACATGTAATTTAAACAAACTTTTATTTTTTTTATTTTTTTAATTTTTTTTTATTTTTTAAGATGACATCTTGCTGTGTCACCCAGGCTGGAGTGCAATGGTGCAATCTCGGCTCACTGCAACCTCTCCCGGGTTCTAGCAATTCTCCAGCCTCAGCCTCCTGAGTAGCTGGGACTCCAAGCATGCGCCATCACACCCAGCTAATTTTTCTATTTTTAGAAGAGACAGGGTTTTGCCATGTTGTCCAGGCTGGTCTCAAACTCTTGACCTCAGGTGATCCACCTGCCTCAGTCTCCCAAAAGTGTTGGGATTAAAGGTGTGAGCCACTGCGCCTGGCCTAAACAAACTTTTTGAAAAGCTGTTTCTAAAAGATCCCTTAAATTCAGATATGACAGCTAATTACCGCATCATAAATTACTTTTATACTAATTGTTTCCAGGGTTTTAGAGTAGTTGAACGTTTATTTCATGAGGCACCCTAAATTCTATAGAAATAAAACCTCAGATGAGTCTCCTTCTTAGAGTGTTATAATGAATGGGAGTTTACAACTTTTATGTGTCATGTTGCCAACAGCTGTGGTTGGGGTGGTCGCTGGCAGGAGGGGACCATATCTCAGAATGGCCCATTATTTCTATTTTACAAATGAGCAAATTGAGGCATAGAGAGTTAGATAACTTGCCCAGGTTACACAGATTGTAAGTTGATGAAGCTGGGATTTGAATCTTCACGTGTGTACTTATAAATACAAATGCAAGGAAAACTTTGATGAGTCCACCTCTTATAATAACCTTTATTACTGTGTGAGTGCCAAGTACTGTTTTAGATGCTTTACATATGCTATTTTGTTTAATATCCTCATTTTAAAGAATAAACTGGCTTGGCACAGTAGCTCACGCCTATAATCCCAGTACTTTGGGAAGCTGAGGCAGGTGGATTGCTTGAGTCTCAGGAGTTCAAGAGTAGGCTGGTTAACATGGTGAAACCCCGTCTTTACTAAAAATACAAAAAATTAGCTGGGCGTGGTGGTGCGTCCCTGTAGTCCCAGCTACTCGGGGAGCTGAGGTGGGAGAATCACCCAGGAGGTTGAGGCTGCAGTGAGCTGTAATCATGCCACTGCGCTCCAGCTTAGGCAATCAGGATTGAGACCCTGTCTTAAAGCAAAAGAAAAAACCTGAGGCTCTCAATAACTTGCTTTCGTTCATGCAGCTTCCAGTGGCTGGACCAGGCTTTAAATTTACTCCAAAACCTTTACGTGGGATGGCACCCTGCCCTGCCTCTGCACCATGGCCCAGCTACATGGGGTTCCCCTGGAGGGAAATGTGGAGCAGAGCCATTCCCTGGAGAGGAGGTTCAAGTATAGAGAGGATCAGCCTCGAAACACTGGTGCTGCCAGGTGCGGGGGCTCATGCCTGGAATCCTAGCACTTTGGGAGGCTGTGGTGGGAGGACTGCTTCAGTGAGCCGTGATGGTGTCACTGCACTGCAGCCTGGGTGACAGAGCAAGATAATTTCTCAAAAAAAACCCCCAAAATCAGAAAAAACAAAAAACACCAGTAGTGTTGAGGGAAAGTGAAAGGGGGAAAGAAGTAACCAAAGACCAGCTAAACAGCCCAAGCTAAGCATGGTGTCCACCACAGAGGATGTGGCCAGTAAATCTTTGCTAAGGGACTTAAATCCTATTAATTGGCGAGCTACATGTGTGGGCAGACAATTCACAGCCCCTATCAGTGGACATCATCATTTCCCTGGGCCCTAGCATCTGCTGTTTGCTTTTTTGACTAGATCTGAATGATCAAATTTATTTCATTTTTTTGAAATGAAGTTTCGCTCTTGTCTCCCAGGCTGGAGTGCAGTGGCCCGATCTTGCAACCTCTGCCTCCCAGGTTCAAGAGATTCTCCTGCCTCAGTTTCCTCAGTAGCTGGGACTACAGGCATGTGCCACCATGCGCGAGTAATTTTTATATTTTTTTGTAGCGACGGGGTTTCACCATGTTGCCCAGCCTAGTCTCAAACTTCTGGGCTCGAGTGATCTGCCCGTCTCAGCCTCTCAAAGTGTTGGAATTACAGGCATGAGCCATTCTGCCTGGCCAGTGACTATATCCGAGATGCCACAGTTTCATGCAGTGGTATTAAGGAAGGAAAATGATGAAAGTAAATTTACTGAAAATTATGAAGGTTCACTTGTTAACTCACATCCACCGGTTCATTTTTCAGTTCTTTCTTTAATGAGCAAATCTGAGTAGTAGTTTTCATGATCATAAACACTCAATGTAAACGTTGGAAATACAACTTTTAATTATTTAGGACCAGTGACATTTGATCAGGGCCCCCAGTGTGATTCCGAGTTTTGCATTTGAAATGGTTACATCTTTTTTTTTTTTTTTTTTTTAACAGTCTTGCTCTGTAGCCAGGCTGGAGTGCAGCGCTGCAATCTCAGCTCACTGCAACCTCCGCCTCCTGGGTTCAAGTGATTCTCCTACCTCAATTTCCTCAGTAGCTGGGATTACAGGCACGCATCACCATGCCCGGCTGTTTTTGTATTTTTAGTAGAGACGGGGTTTCACCATTTTGGCCAGGCTGGTCTTGAACTCCTGGCCTCAATTGATCCACCCGCCTCATCCAAAGTGCTGGGATTACAGGTGTGAGCCACAGCGCCAGGCGAAATGGTTACATTTTGTCAAGCGGGCAAATGGGAAGAACAGAAGCCCAGGAATTTTGGGCTACTTTGAGGCAAAATGCTTTATTTTTTCTAGGTCCATATGGATGGACTGCTAACAACTGCTAAGTTGAAGTTAAATGGACTCTTGTTCTTAAAAAAAATTTTTTTTGCTATATCCTCTGCAAAATTGCTTATTAATTTGCATAAACTTTTTTTTTTTGTATTTTTTTTTTGAGGGGGGTGAGGGATAGGGTATTTTGCTGTCCATGGAATGCAGTAGCGTGATTTTGGCTCACTGCAGCCTCCTGGGCTCAAGCCATCCTCCCATCTCAGCCTCCTGGGTAGCTGGGACTACAGGCGCGTGGCACCGCGCGCCGGCTAATTTTTGTATTTCTAATAGCGACGCGGTTTTGCCATGTTGCCCAGGCAGATCTGGAACACCTGGCCTCAAGTGATCCTCCTTCCTTGTCCTCCCAAAGTGCTGTGATTACAGGTGCAAGCCACCATGCCCAGCCTGCTTAAACTATTAAGTTAAACAAAACAAAACAAAGCAAAACAAAACAAAACAAAACAGGCCGAGCGGGATAGCTCACGCCTGTAATCCCAGCACTTTGGAAGGCCGAGGGGGACGGATCTCGAAGTCAGCAGATGGAGGCCATCCTGGCTAACACGGTGAGACCCCGTCTCTACTAAAAATACAAAAACGAAATTAGCTGGGCATGGTGGCGGGTGCCTGTAGTCCCAGCTACTCGGGAGGCTGAGGCAGGAGAATGGCGTGAACCCGGGAGGCAGAGGTTGCAGTGAGCCGAGATCGCGCCTGGGCGACAGAGCGAGACTCCAAAAAAAACCCCCACCCAAAAAAAAAAAAAAAAAAAAAAAAAAAAAAAAGAGAGAGAGAGAGATACAAGTGAATATTCTTAATTATGTCAATTACATCTCAAAAAAGACAAAAATAAATAAATAAAAGAATACCTCCCCAAAAATGATACAAGAAAAGATTCACCTAAATCTGTTCACAGCTGTCTGCAGAGCTCCTACTGTGTGCTGAACCTGAGGGTACACAGGGTACGGACACGTTTGGAAGGTGATTACAGGCCAGGTTTCCACACTTTTTGGTCCAGGCAAACCCAGACGAGCCAGCTGGCTCAAGGACTTGGCAGCTGCGCTATGACTGAACAGAGCCTACGTTCGAACCCACGGCTGCAAGACTTAGGAGCCCACGACGGGATCTGCCGTGGTTCACTGCCCCAGGGAGTACTGAATGAACGACAGAGGGCGTGGCCCCGAGCATCCGCCGCTGAACTGCCCCGCCCTGGCCTGCGACATCCTCCCACCCGCATGGACTGCGCTGCAGCGCCGCCCAGCGGGGAGCCCCAGTTCGGTGCCAGCGCCCGCGCCAGCGAAGCGGAGGAGGCCGGCGCCCTAGGCGGGGCAAAATTCCTCCCAGCGCAGCGAGGACCGGAGGGCAAGGCCAGCGCGCGCCGGCGGGCTTGCGTCCGGGGCACAGACGCGACGGGCCCGCACGGGGCGGGGACCGCGCGCGCGGCTGCTGGGCCTGCGGCTGTGGGGCGGCGAAGAGCGCTGGCGACCACTGAAGATCCTGGGGGCCTTCGGGGTCCGGGCTGCGCCTGTGCCCGCGGGAAGGCCGGGCGCTGCCCACACACAGCCCCTGCTCCAGGCCAGCCCCGCAGGGAGACTACCGGGGCGGTGGTAGGTGGGCGGGGCCGGGTCGGGGGCTGCCGTGGGCTGCCGACAGGCAGCGCGCAGGGCAGCCCTCGGCAGACGGCCAATGGCGGCGGCGCTCTGGGCGCGGGGGGCGACTCGGCGCTTGTTGGCGGCGCTGCAAGGCCAGAGCCTACGGCTCGCGGCTGTGGTGAGTGTCTAGCGCCCGCGGGACTGGGATTCAGGGGTCCGGGGTCAGGGGGGCGGCGCGAGGCCCAGCGGCGTCGGCTGAGGGGCCAGCGGGACTGGGGCGGCCCGGGCGTGGACCGGCCCTTGGAGCTCGGGCGTCGGGTCACCGCGTCCTGGGACTGAGCACCTGCTCGGCGCGCCGCTCAGAGACCGGGGTGTCCGCAGCCTCCGCCACTTGCCCCTTGGCTTTACACCTCCGCCGAAGCCTACGAACTTGCCAACCGGAAACAAATGGGAACGAATTTTGTTCAACTACAAAAGGCAGATGTGAAAAATAGTTGCAGAACAATTCGGTGCCCGCCGCCGCCGCTCGCTGTGCTGAGGACGAACGGCGCTGCGGGCCCGGCTCCCTATGGCGACTCCCTGTTCGCGCTTCACTCCAAGGGGAGCCCACAGAGATTTTGGAGGAGTTATTAATAAATTGTCTTTTTTTGGTGACATACTGGCTTTTCTTTCCTCTTCCAAGGGGCCGTCAGTTTTCCTGCTGTAGAAATTAATAAAGTTTTAACATGCAGCACCACCTAGTGGAGAAGTGATGCGTTAAACTCACCATCTCATTTTAAGTTGCATTTTAACCGCCCATTTCAGTTTGAAATGTTTTGTTTTGTTTTGTTTTTTTCGAGACGGAGTCTCGCTGTATCGCCAAGCCTGGAGTGCAGTGGTGCGATTTCGGCTCACTGCAACCTCCGTCTCCTGGGTTCAAGCGATTCTCCCCCCTCAGCCTCCCGAGTAGCTGAGATTACAGGCGCGTGCCACTATGCCCAGGTAATTTTTTATATTTTTAGTAGAGAGGGGTTTTCACCATGTTGGCCAGGCTGGTCTGGAACTCCTGACCTAAGGTGATCCACCTGCCTCGGCCTCCCAAAGTGCTGGGATTACAGGCGCGAGCCACTGCGTCTGGCCTGAAATTCTTTAATAGAAGAAATTTAAAATAGCTCGAAGACGGAGGAAGACAAGCACTTCGCCTCTTCTTGGCCCCGAAGGGGAGAACACAAGTTGAGTGCCTACTGTCACCTAGGCGTGTCTTCAGGCATATTCTGTCCTAGGTGCTAGTGATCCAGTAAGATTAGGGTGTTCTGGGAAGGAATGAATCAACAGACATGATTTGAGCGCTGCCACGTGCCAGGCTCAATGCTAGGTACCCTCGCATTCAAGATCTGTAATCTAAGCCTTTCAAAAAATCTTGGCAGGTGGATATTATAAAATTCCCACTACAGACAGAAGGATCCCGGAATTCAGAAAAGCGAAGTTTAGCATCCCATAGCTAAAAGTAACAAAGGCCTTAGATCTAGTTTACTCTCTTCAAATCCTAGCCTACTCCCCACCCCCTGAAAAATTAAGCCCACCACAAAGGGTTCCGTTGCGAATGTGCCCTCTTGGGGGCCTTTGATGTTATGTAGATGAAGTGGCTCCATTTCCCAGTCCTGGGCGTGGTCCCTGCTGCTGGGCAGGTGTCTGTTGTGGGCATAAAGTGCATACCATTGAGCTTAGTGGGGATGTGGATGGTCCAGCACTCAGAGAAAACAGCTCAGAGTGTGTTCCACAGACTCCAGGTGCCTGCCCCCACTGCATGTTTAATGGTTTTCTTTGCAGCTGTTCAATGTGGACACACGTAATTCTGTTTCTTTTCCAAAATACTCCGAGTTGACAAAATAAGTGTTTAATAAGAATTTTAGATTTCTTTCTATCTTTTTTTTGAGACGGAGTCTTGCTCTGTCGCCCAGACTGGAGTGCAGTGGTGCAATCTTGGCGCACTGCAACCTCCCCCTCCTGGGTTCAAGTGATTCTCATGCCTCAGCCTCCCGAGTAGCTGGAGCTATAGGTGTGTGCCACCATGCCTGGCTAATTTTTGTATTTTTAGTAGAGATGGGGTTTCACCATCTTGGCCAGGCTGGCCTCGAACTCCTGACCTTGTGATCTGCTCGCCTTGGCCTCCCAAAGTGCTGGAATTACAGGCATGAGCCACCACGCCTGGCCAAGAATTTTAGATTTCTTATGATAGATGTACGTGTAAGTTTTTCAGAACAGTCACTGAGAAACTGATGAATGAATCTTTTGATTCTTAATAGTAAATGGTGTTTATTACTTACTTTTCTTTCTTTCTTTTTTTTTTTCCTTTTTTTTTAAAAGACAGGGTCTTACTCTGTTGCCCCGGCTGGAATGCAGTGGTGATCATAGCTCACTGCAGCCTCAGTCACCTGGTCTTAAGTGATCCTCCCACCTCAGCCTTCCAAGTAGCTGGGACTATGGACATGGTCCACCACCCCAGCAATTAAAAAAAATTTTTTTTTGTAGAGACGAGGTCTCATTGTGTTGCCCAGGCTAGTCTTCAACTCCTGGCCTAAAATGATCCTCCCACCTCAGCCTCCCTAAGTGCCAGGATTACAGATGTGAGCCACTGTGCCCGGCCCTAGTAAATGGTTTTTTTTTTTTTTTGAGATGGAATCTCACTCTGTTGCCCAGGCTGGATGGCTGGGATTACAGGCATGTGCCTCCATGCCCAACTAATCTAGTAAGTGGTTTTTAATAACAAGCTTTTGCATATTTTTGTTTAATTAAAAAGTATTCTCTGCTGGGCACCGTGGCTCACCCCTGTAATCCCAGCACTTTGGGAGGCTGAGGTGGGCAGATCCCTTGAGGTCAGGAGTTTGAAACCAGCCTAGCCAACATGTGAAACCCTGTCTCTACTAAAAATACAAAAAATTAGCTGGGTGTGGTGGCATACACCTGTAATCACAGCTACTCAGGTGGCTGAGGCAGAAGAATCGCTTGAACCTGGGAGGCAGAGGTTGCAGTGAGCTGAGATCACACCACGGCACTCCAGCCTGGGCGACAGAGCAAGACTTGGTGTCAAAAAAAAAAAAACAAAAAACTCTCACCCTTTTGTTAGTTGTGGGGAAGAATAGCCGACCTAGCAAAGAAGAAAAACTAGAAAACTGATTCATTAGTATTTTTTTCTTCATCTTCATAGAATAAGTTGTCTAAAGGTAAAATCTTTTTGATCTCTTAATATTAGTGATAAAAGATTTTAGGATTTCTGAAGTGGGAGTGAGTTGCAGCTTAATGGCAGAGAATCCAGGGAATGCAACTTAGCCCACAGTTGCCCTTTGATGAGGAGCCTTCACTAATGTTCATCTTTCTGGGTGACAGCGTCTCTCTCACCTGAGCCTACAGTAACTCTGCAAGTAGTTAAGACAGGAAGTATTGCCTGGAGTGAGAACCCTGCTTTCCTGACTTCTAGTCCAGTGTCCATCTCTTCTGTCTGACCCTGATGTTTGAAGTTATTTAGTTAAAAATCCAATAGCATGGGAAGTGTGGGCCTGTTAAGCAAGAGAACCTGGCTTTGTGAATGTCATCCCCATGGTGAGTAGAAACAGGCCAGACAGTGCACACAAGTGCTTTGGACTGGGCAGTACTCTCGCCAAACTATGGAGAGAGTTTGTCTGACTGGTGCTCTGAGAAAAGGGCTTCATAAACTCACCCCACTGAGGCCAGGGCTTTTTACCTGTAGTCCAGAGGATCTGTGGACCCCCAGAAGTTAGATAAAATCATATGTAATTGTGCATTTGTTTTTCCCCATCCAGGGATTGGTTTTCATTAGATGTGACAGGAGATGGTAATTCCAAATCTTAAAACTATCTTTCGTTTCTTTGTTCTCAAAAGACAGACCAAAACAAGGCTAGCTCTGTACAAAATAAACTGCCTCTATGGTATGTTCCCTCTGGCCCCCTTACTGCTGCCTCAGACATCACAGTTCAGCTTCTCTGGCTTATTACAGATACAACAGAGAGTAGTGAAGACTACTGAGGTGATGTAGGGCCGTCTGAAGAGCAATAGACCAGGAGTTTGGAGCCTTGAATTCTAATTCTGGTCCTGCCAATAGACTTGCCACAAGTCCTGGAATTCTGCAGTGTCCAAGATGGCCAGTGGTAATAGTCGATCTTTGTTGTATCTGTAATAAGCCACAGAAGGGCTGGGCACGGTCACTTATGCCTGTAATTCCAGCACTTTGGGAGGTCCAGGCTGGCGGATCTCTTGAGCTCAGGAATTCAAGGTCAGCCTGAGCAACATGGTGAAAATCTGTCTCTACCAAAAATACAAAAAATTAGTTGGGTGTGGTGATGTGCACCTGTAGTCCCAGCTACTGGGGAGGTTGAAGTGGGAGGATCACTTGAGTCCAGGAGGCGGAGGTTGCAGTGAGCCGTGATTGCACCACTATGCTCCAGCCTGGGCGATAGAGCGAGACCCTGTCTCAAAACAACCAACCAACCGACCAACCAACAAGCCAACCAACCAGAGAAGCTGAATTGTGAAGGTTGAGGCAGCAGTAAGTGGGCCAGAGGTTCCATACCATGGAGGCAGCTTATTTTGCACAGAGCTAGCCTTGCTTTGGTCTCTCTTGTGAGAACAAAGGAATGAAAGATGGTTAGAATTTGTTGCCTTTCAGACTTTTCTACTTCTCTGCTTAAGGTAAGGAGCCATAAGTTTGAGTTTGAGTAAACGTCTACATTTTCAGATATGAAATGTGTTCTCTTCATAGTCGTCAGGTACTCACAGGTTGACTGCAGAGGAGAGGAACCAAGCTATACTTGACCTTAAAGCAGCAGGATGGTCGGAATTAAGTGAGAGAGATGCCATCTACAAAGAATTCTCCTTCCACAGTTTTAATCAGGTAATTGTTACAAATTCTTGCTAGGGCTGTGGTCTATTTTGGTCACCGTAGGCTGTAACTCTTTCTGATTCTGCCAGTTGTCTGGTCCCATGCAAATCCAGGATTCAACTCTTCCCTTCTTTAAGAATTCAGTGATAGAGTGACATCCTTGTTGACACTTGCTACCACCCACCTGGGTGATGTTTAGGTCTGGGGGAAGAGGGTGGTTTGTGTTATTTGGAATACAAATTCTGAAACCACTATTGCTTTGATTTGGTGTTGGTTAGGATATGTAGTTTCTTTTGAAATTT